CTGCTCTAGTTGTCTCTGTATCAAAGGTATCATTTATGCCAGACACCATTGCAGAGTTTGTTAATAATGCTGGTGTGAATGGTGGAGCTATAGCCTTATATTCCTCTGCTTTTATTGAAATCAGCCGCAACACTAGTTTCTTGTTTGAGGGCAACAAAGCTCGCAATCGTGGAGGAGCAATTTATGCTGAATCATTCGGAACTAGTTTAGAAAAAACATCACTCGACTGTTTGATACGCTATAGTAACGCGACTGTTGTCCCTAGTAAGTGGTCCACCACTTTTAATTTTAGGAATAATACTGCTAATCTTCATAATAACTCAATTTATGCATCAACAATTAAACCCTGTACCCTTCTTAGTGGCTATGCTAATGACATTAATGAGAGACTGATGAATGTGTTCTGCTGGAATGAAGAGGAGGAGTCAGTCTGGGAATATAACTCTGACACATCTCAAAATGCATGCATGAGTCAGATTCAAACTGATATTGCTTCATTTAATCCAGAAAAATCTGATGGAGTTATTGAATTAAGGCCTGGTGAAGAAGCAAAGCTTGAAATTCAACCACTGAATGATCAAAACTCAAACGTAAGTGAGTATATTTATCATGTTTATTCACAGAATGAGAACGTTACAATTCACAATGACTATTATTACGTTTCTGATGATACTGTCTTTGTGTATCCAACTTCAAATAAAACTGTCAAAGGTATGATACATGTTGAAGCTGTTCAGCAAAATATTGTACAGTTTGATCTTAAAGTGGTGTTTGAGGATTGCCATCCTGGTCTTACTGTAAAACCAACTGCAAGACATTCATACTTGCAGTGTACGTGTTCACCATATACCAAGGCAGGAATTTTTAGTTGTAATAATGAAACATTTACTGCTGAACTCCTCCAAGGATACTGGATAGGCAATTATAGCAACAAGACTATGTATGGCCAATGTATAAGTTGTAAAACACGACAGGTTCTTGTCCACATTACACTCAATCAATCACTGGACGAATTTGAAAGGAAGTACTGTAGCAACCATAGTGGAGGTGTGCTGTGCAATCAGTGTAATCATAGTGATGGGTATGCTCCTGCTATTAGTTATGACAAATTCAAGTGTGTTAAATGTACACATACAGTTGATCCTGCTGGTGTTAGTATATTTGTCATATGTGATGTTCTCCTTCCTTTGGTCTATCTCATTGCAGTTTATATTTTTGACGTTCCACTTACATCTGGATTATTTCATGGCCCAATATTACTTTGTCAACTTGTCTCCAGTATAGTACTTTTGGATGGTGGTGGTATCATAGCCTTCAATTCACTGTATAATAGTTCTGGAGCTGATAAGCTGCAAAGGGCATACACTGGACTGTATGACTCCTTTAATCTGTACTTTGCAAGGTCATTGCAAGAAACACATTGTTTTTCAAGGAATTCAAATTTTGTAACAGTTATTGCAATCAATTATGTTGCTGCTCTAGTCCCCTTGTTCTTAGTGATTCTCTCTGCATTAGTTCACTACTGCTCTCGTACCTTCTGCAAGTGCTGCACATGTGGCACATTCTGTAAACCAAATTGTAATACAGATTGTTATTATATTAAAAAATTTTATAAGAGCAGGAAGAACAAGGCCAACTTCTTGGCCACAGCCATAATGCTCTCCTACACCAATGTGGCAGTTATAACAAGCTACTTACTAACATA